AAGGCTCTTTTAAAATCTAGAATTTGGGGCCGGGGAAATAGCTTAGAAGAATAAGTGCTTGCCTAGCAAACGCAAGGGCCTGAGTTCAATCCCCGGTTTTGCCAAAAAAAAAAAAAAAAAAAAAACCATAAAATCTAGAATTAAAACTACCATATGATCCAGCTATCTTATTCCTGGGTATGTATGCAAAGGAAATGAATTTAGCACTCGGCAGAGATACCTGAGTGCCTATGTTTATTGGGGCATTGTTTACAGTAGCTAAGGTATGAAATCAACTTGTAAGTGTGTCAATAGATGAATGAATAAATAAATTATGATATTTGTAGCCAATGAATATTATTCAACCACAAAGAAGAATAAGAATCCAGTCAGTTGTAATACAATAGAAACAGAGAACAGTATGTTAAATAAAATATGCCAGGCACCGAAACCCAAGTATTGTATCTTCCCTCTTCTATGCGGAAGCAAGCAAACAGAAGAAGTCAACCTGAAAGTAGAAAGGGGTTACTAGGAACAGGTAAGAGTACTGGGGGGCAGAGCAGAAGGTACAAGAGGGTAGATGGACTCCTGATGAGTTCATGAAGGTTGCACATATGGCAATGTAGCGGACCTCTTCAATTTCTAATTAATAAATCATAATAATGATCAAAAGAAGTGAGAGTACATTAAAATGATGTTATGCAAACTTTTAAAACTGGATTATAGTACACTGGGGAGACAGCTGTGCAGTCTAAGCACTTGCCTGACAAGCACAACGACCCGGGTTCGAACCCTGGTACTATATGCCATGCAGGCCCTGGCACCCTTGGTGTGCTGTGCAGGCCAGCAAAACAGGGTATAGTGGCTCATACCTGTAATCTCAGCACTGGGGAGTCTGAGACAAGAGGATCACTATGAGTCTGAGCTGCACAGAGAAACCATGTGCTACATAAATAAATAAATTAAGAGATTTTTAAAATATATACTGTATAAAAATATATAATGATAAAATATGCTTACATCAGATTTTGGGAGGAGAAGAAAGACAAATTGCAAAGCACTAGACTACAACCCTAAGTCTGTGGAGAACACATGGGGATGTGAATAAAGCAGTAAAGGAGCAAAAGAATAAATGTTTCTAGAGATTTTCCTCTAAGAGGGTTCTATGTTCACTGAGGTTCCCCCAAAGCATCTTCAATATTTTTGGCTAAAGACGCTAAGAATTGAGACATACTACATACAGTTTAGGGCTACCCATCTAATGAGTTTGATTTCCCCAAGAGTTTCACCAACCATAGTTTACTTTTCAAAAATCACAGTCTCTCTTTTTCGTTTTCCACTGAGAGTGGAGAGAGATGTGATGAGATAAATCTGGCTTCATTGCTTTAATCCAAATACCTGGTTTTGGGGGAATATAAGATTCTGGGCCTGAAAGTAGCCTGAGAAAAGATCTCAGGTAGATATGAAAAGGACATGCCCAGTTCTGCTAAGCTGTGCTGAGTTCCTAACACTGACTCTAGGCATTTGCTGCTGTTTGTCAGTGATAGAAATTGTAGGAAATGTGGCTCTCCTGGGCCCAGTGCCAGTACTTCCTATGCTAGAGAAAACACTTAAGTGATTACCAGATTGCTCCAGGGCAGGAACAGCTACCCCAGTTAATACACCCCTGATTTCCCCCTTACTATGGTCTGAATATGTCCCTCCAGAGTTCGGATTGAAGCCTAATCCCCACTGTGCTAGAATTAAGTGGTGGGGGCCTTTGGGAGTTTATTCCGTTATAAAGACTCTGCCTTCAAAAATAGGATCGATGCCACTCATCTTAGCCCCTTGGATCTTTCTGCCAGGTGAAGATGCAGAGACAAGGTGCATCTTGGAATCCAGGAGAATGACCCTAATCTTCCCAAGACCCTGAATCCGGGCCTGCCTTGCCCTTGAACTTCCTAACCGAGAGACCTATGAGGAATAAATTCCTGTTACTAATTAGCCAGGTGAAGGTATTCTGTTGTAGCACCCCAAATGGACTAAGACAGGCCAGTGCTTACCCCTTGAACTTGGGAGGCATCCGTAGCGAGCCTTGTGGCCAGTGCCCCAGGGCTATTTCTGAGGTCATCAAACCAACCAATGTCTTGCCCTAGCATTGCCTTGAAACCAAATTTACGCAACCTTTTCGTGAGGAGTTCTCCAGATTTAGCAAAAGTATATCCCTAAAATATAAAGAAGAAGTCTTCAGTGAAACTTTAACATAAAAAGGTGGGGGAATGTCAATCATTTAATGAAAAATAAAGTGCTTTACCTGCAGAAACTGGGTGAACACAGACACACAGCCCATTATCACAAAAAGTATGCACACACCATCAATCTGGGACTGCTGCTCCTCTTTATCAAGAAGTGAAAAAGTCTTTTGGAGAGAACAAGCAAGGAAGAAACTTCATTATTGTGAATGGTACACAGTAAATAAATTAAAATATGATGAAGCAAAAATTCTTTTAACACATCATCCTACATTTGTCCAGTCCTGTAGGATGTACACTGAGAGTGAACTTCAATGTAATGGGCGGTCTTGTACCAAAGTGTCAGTGTAGCTTCATGAGTTATAACAAATGCACCTCCCCCCAGAATGGCAGGGAGTGTGTAAGAAATCTCTATACCTTCCTCTTAATTTTGTTAGCAACCTAAACAATCTGTGGTTCCATCTTTTTTATTCCTCCAGAAGGGCGTTTGGTATATTCATGGACTACAGAATTCAGATTTAGCCCATCTAGTTCCTATTTTATACATAGGAAACAAATGCACAAAGCATCAAGTGTGTGCCTAATTCGTTGAACAAGGAGTTTTGCTTGGACAAGGAAATGTGGATTTTCTAGCCTCTGATGCAGTGGTCATCTTCTGGGCATGTTCTTTTGGTTTCTGGCATTGTCCATCAGCTGATCTGTGAGACTGGGCATCTAATCCATCTACTCTTTCCCCACAATGCTGTGCTCCATGAGTCCTTCGTATATTCTTATTATTAACATGCAGTCCAGTGGGCTACCTGGTCCATAGACTTCTGGGTGGTTAGACTGGCTGGAATTCAGGAGCACATCTTTGCTATTTTTGGAATAATAAGTGTGCTTAAGGGAAAAACAAACATCTATTTAAACTCTTGCTATATGCCAGATATCAAAGGTGAGTCTGTTTTTTGTTGTCATTGTTTTATTGGATCCAGGGTCTCCCTAAGGGGTTCAGACTCATAGTGATCCTCCTGTCTCAGCCTCCCCAGTGCTGAGATTATGGGGTGCTCCACCATGACCAAGGTTCCAGGGCCGGCACAGTATGTGGTACCAGGGATCAAACTTGGGTCCTTGAGCTTGCCAGGCAGGCACTTAGACCACTGAGCTATCGTTCCAGCCCCATGAATGTGTTTTAACTAAAATTAAGATTGCCTTAAATTAGGACTCTTAAAACAACCTATTTTGATAGGCTTTTTCCCCCCTTCCTGTTACAGATGAAGAACCTAAGTCTCACCAGAGGTAAGTTCCTGTCCAAACAGGCACAGGTAGCACAGAGCAGAGACCTACAATTCCAGGGCTAGCTGACTCCCAAATCTGAGCTTTTTCCCGGCACATCACACCCAAATTGCAGTAGCTGACACACTTCCCAAGTCAGGCACGGGGAACGCAAAGCAGACAAATCACATCTCATGTGGATATGGAGGCTCCATGAGGCCAGCATCTGGCTCCTAACAGTGCTCTGGTATTTGCCAGGGCCATGTTGCACAATGTGGTCCCTCCACACCACACTTGGCAATTTCACCCTACAGGTATATCCAGATGAAACAGCAATTAAAAACAGCCACAGGATTACAGCCTGTGAGATGACAGCCTCAGGAGTTTACTGATGAAGTGGTGATAATTGTGCTGAGACAGAGACAATCTTCCTTATTAGCAAGGAAAGATGGTGGCTTGCTGAGCAACAAACATGAATGCTCTTAGATATCTTTGCCATCCTTCATTTTGTAATTGAAAAACCTTAGGCCAAGAGAAGTGGGCACACAGGCTATGGGCAGCAGCTAGCAGAACAGGTTTCATAGGAAAGCTCTCCTGGTAAGATATTCTGGACTCTTCTGACAGCAGCTGATATATGTGGTTTGGGTGAAGCTGTGTCCATATAAAATTTATCCTATTTTTATGACAGAAAGCAATCGTTGGCAGGAATTCTAAGTTGCTTTTAGAAAGCAAACATGTATCTTCACAGATGCACTCCTTTCTGTCACCTCTACACCTGCCTCATTAGCCCTGGAGATTCACTTTCAGAGCCTCTCCCTGCCAGGATGGTAGCTTTAGAGGCCAGGGAGCGTCTCATCTTCCTGCCCTCCACCCCACGCCCCCGCTAGCAGCGGTGCCTGGGAGACAGCAAGGGATCCACACACATCTGTCCCGTGGTGAATGGGATGCTATGCTTAACTTTTGTCTTGAGGAAAGTACCCTGACTGGCATGGCATTCGCAAGCCCCCAACCTGGTGTCTAACACAACTCTGCTGAGTGAGTAAAAGATTATGACTTTATGTTTGGATGGTATTTCCAGGAAACGATGGAATATAAATGAATGGCTTAAAAGACGTTCAGTACACAAGGTTGTTGCTCCAATAACCAAGGGTCAGTTCCCTCAATGTCCCCTCCGTTTCCCATTTTCTTCCCACCACCAAGTTACTACACGATTTCCTCACTCACCACAAGGGGGCAGTGTGAAAATTAAAGCCCAGGCTAGGGACCTCCCTACAGAACTGACTTTTGTTTGTTGATTATCCAGGTTTTTCTGTACAGTTCATGCCCGTGGGAACATTTTCCTGGTAAGCACTTCTTTCTCACTTACCAAGCTCTGCCAAAGTTGTGTACTGGCAAGTCCTTTGGATGCTTCACCTGGAACAAGTTACCAACGTTCTTTAGGTTCTGGGCTTTCTCCTTCACTGACGTCACATGGTGTGTGTGTGTGTGTGTGTGTGTGTGTGTGTGTGTGTGTGTGCATGTGTGTGTGTCCACTAAAAATAGGTCAGCGTTTCGATGGCCAATTTTCCAATGACAAGACCAATAATAAGACTTCTCAGAAGCTGGCTCGATAATCACACTTGCTCGATTTGACTCCCTACTCTGCCACTTGCTGTCCTCAGTTCTCTGAGCTTTGATTTGCTCCTTTATAAAATCAGATAATGAGAATCCCTATCTCAGTAGGGTCTTAGGAAACATAAATGAGCTATTCTACATGAAGGGCTTAGATAATACCTTATAACTGTCTGTATTTATTATTATAGTAATAGAATTGAATAAGGAAAAGCAAAACTTCTAAAACTAAAAAAACTGAAGTAGAATTATTTCTCTCTATTTTTATTTCTTCCTTGGTTTCTCTCACTTCCTCTGCACATTCTTGTTTTAGTCAATTGGCAACAAAACAGAGAATTTCACATTGCATACTAACACCTGCTGTTATAAGACAAATTTTATACCTTAGCTATTTAGCAAGATTAAAAATTGATCTAAAATCCTGTCCTATTATTCAGCAAACCTGCTTTGCATCCTGATTTGGTTTGCATAAGATAGGCTTCCCTGTCCCAAGTGATGGTACGTGTACGCTTTGTGCGGTGTGCGTTTTACAAGTTGAACCCAGGACCTTGGGCAGGAGCTTGGGGCATGAGCTACACCCCCTGCCCTGCTGGCACCTGTGGGCTTGGTAGCTGCACAAGCGCCCTGTAGACCAGACAGGAGGGCTCAGCCTCGCCTCCCCACCTTTTGTGTGATACAGACTCACTGAAATGTTCACCCTGCAGACATGAGAAAAAAAAGCTAACGAAAGAACCAAATATATTAAAACAAAGAGCTGACCTAACAAATATGGTAACAACTACTGATACAAAAAGAAGTGAGGAGAATACAGCTTTAACAGCTGCTTGCTTACCCCGAGAATCTGGCTGAATAAGAAGGCATAGAGGGGCGTGACAGCCCCATTGACGACTGCACTCAGAGCCCCCACGACCATGTAGGGCCATTCCTGAGCATTGAATTTCAGAATCCTTCTCACTGGGGCAGGCTCAACTTCTTCCTCCACTGGAACGTCCTTGTTTTTGAGGGAAAAGAGGACTGTATTAATCATCCAGATACACACACACATGCGTCCTGCATAGTCTTGTATTAAGTAGCAGACCCTTTGGCATTCAGAGACGAGCCATGGTTTGACTGGTTCTGAGTGACTCCAAAGATCTACCGGACATGGTGGCTTGTTAGTTTTTGAGGAATGATTTTAAATTCCTTTACACCACACCATGGCTTGAATGGGACAGACTCTTCGAGCTGTGCAACTGATGCTAACTTTATAGTTCTCATTTTACAATCACAGGTGGGTTGATACAAGCAGTGATGCATGCATTGGGGCTTTGAAATAATAGCTTCTAATTTTAAAAAAACAGCTATAGTGTATATATACATGTGAGGATTTAAGAATTTTTCGAGATATGTTTCTCATGAATGTCAATGTTCTGTAATCACTAGATTAGGCCAAAGCTCTACAATTCTACTAAAGCAGTAGCTTTTACTAGCACTGTAAAGCAGGCAGTATATCTGGAACAGAAAATTTAACCAATTCATTAAGTGGTATCAACAGTTATTATTTACTCATTTGCAGTAAGGTTTCCCCTAATTAGTACCCCAGAAGTAAGTGACACTGTATATGGATTTCTAAGTTGCCCATTTTTTTTTCACAAAGAGTGAAAATTACTATTCTCCTATTCTGATTTTTTTAGAATTTTATTGAGAAACAAACAGCAATGAGATAGTTGCAAAACTGATTAGTAGGCCAGTTTCAATAATTAGTACATTGCATTTTGTTGTCTTCGTAGTGGTTATTCATAGTACAAGATGCAGACATGATATCCTGTCCAAACACTATTAGTACAAATCTTTCTTCTCATTGAATTAAGAGAAAGTAGCTGTGTATCTATCCTATTTTGTATATACAGATACTAAATGGTCTATTAAAATGTCAGGGTTTTATCTTTTCAGAGGCCAGTGTTACATATTGAACTCTACTTTTTTTTCTAGCATTTCTCCTTGCCATCAATATTACCCAATGTTTGGGCATATTTATTCAACCATTTGTTTAATTTGCTACTCACTTTGATAAATGGTTCTAGATGTGTATGTAAATTGGCATCAATCTGTTTTACTTTTTCTATTAAAATACACTGAAATATCTACACAAAGCCAACTATAAAACTAGTAGTGATTTTTCTCCTTTTCTAATACACAGTAATTTCCCCTTAGGGAAAGAGAACAGGACACATAACGAAGTCCTTCAACAATTCACTCTGCTTACAAAGTCAAAGACCACATTATCAATTCAATTTAAAGGAAAGGCTGGTGTCCTATTCATTTCATTATAATTCAAGCCAAACAGGATCCAGGAAAGCAGCTCAGGCTGGTGATGGATGTGCTTTTACGTCCACTTCGAGTTCTCCCTTGGCTACTTGCAACATTTGCATTTTGCAGTTACTGAGCAGTAATTGCATCATTCATGCAGCAAATCTTTTGTTCAATTATTTCCACTCTGACAATTTACTAACTTCAGAGCATCCATCCTAGAGAAAAGGAAGGTGTTTGGGAAAGTGGAAATGCAACCGAGACAGAAAGAAGGCGCTCTTGGTAAGTCCTATGCGGCCACCAATGCACCTGAACTCTGGACCTTGATTACCTTATTCTTTTTTTTTTTTAATGTATTTGGTACAGGGTCTGCAGGGTCTCATTACATAGATTGGACTCATAGTGATTCCCCTGTTGTCAGCCTCCCAACCACTGGGATTACAGGCATGCGCCACCATGCCCAGTCTCAATCACTGTCTCAGCAGGCCCCAGGGGTGGGGCCAGCATGGCCTGCAGGGAATTGAACCCTTGCCACTGTGTTGATTACCTTATTCTTAAAAGAGTAGGAGTAGGTTGTTCCTGGGAGACAGTCTTCCTGGAACTATCATATTTTTGCATATTTTGTGAGCAAAGGAATTGATTCGCTATGTTCAGATTTCTTTTCACAGTTACCAATACAGCAAACAGCCTTGGAAGACTGAGAGGTGTCTGTTCCCCAAGCATTGGCTCATCTGTGCATAACAGAAGGGAGCTCCTCCAGCCCAGCCTTCCCCTTGTGTACCATACCCCAATTCTCCTGCTGGTGTCACTTCTTCATTTCCCTGGTGAGTACAGGGGATTGAGTTGGGGACCGGTGCAGAAATGCTGGGCTGCAGCTCTTGCCACAGCTCTGTGTACTGAAGTTCTTATCTCTGCCTCAGGGTCTTATGTATCCCACCAGCATCCTTGGACTTGTGTCGGGCTGACCACGTGGCTTGCCACAGAGCCAACTATCAGACCCTTCAGAGTTCTAGACAGGACTTGGGGTCACAGACTCCTGAGGGCTGATGATTACAGAACACAAGTTTCAGGGAGGTCTCAGCACCAGAATTCCAATTGAGAAGGTCTTCTATGTGGCTCATTTAAAAAGTAGTCCTCAGGTGATTCTGGTGACCAAAGCTTGATCACAATGGATGATTCCAGGCTGTTTCCCACCACTAAAAGTTGAGGCTTCCATAATTACACACTGTGGATTGTCAGCTGTCAAGGACCACCGAGGGGCACGAGGGTGTGAGAGTGCCTTCCTGCCCCTTGGGTCCTCCTGTTTGCTAGTGACATGCACAGAACTACAGCTCCTCCTGCACCGTGCACAGAACTACAGCTCCTCCTGCACCGTGCACAGAACTACAGCTCCTCCTGCACCGTGCACAGAACTACAGCTCCTCCTGCACCGTGCACAGAACTACAGCTCCTCCTGCACCGTGGACCCACAGAATGGAAACTCTCCCGACTGATACCCAAACATTCCTAAGCCTGAGCAGCAATGCCTAAGAGAGATCAAGACAACAGGAAGTATATTTTCTCTAGTACTTTTGATCCCCAAATAAACTAACAAGAAAAAGTAGTTAATTCAAATATTTTTCTTTTGTCTTCCTATACTAAAAAATTTGTCTTCAAGGGAAATTGTTCCCTAGTCCCCCAACCAGATGCCAATGTCAATCCCCAATGATAAAAAAAAAGAAAAACCCTAGAAAGTGGGCTCCCAAATAATAGACTTTTAATTGAATTTTATCTGAATCAGTAGAGGAATAAAAGAAAACTAAATATACAACTAAAATCATTCTGCAAAAAAAAAAAAAAAGAACTACCTCAAATTTTGCAAAGCTAAATATAAAGAGGAAGGGGAAATGAATAAATTAAAAGTGAACTAGTAGCTCACATAGAGAGGTAAAATAACAGTGGTTACTATTATTATTAGTGCTAATAAAAATATATGTCGCTCTACCACTAAGCTACATCCTCAGTCTTTAATTTTTTTTTCTTACATTCTGAAGCATGCTTTTGCTAAGTTACCTAGGTGGTCTCAAACTGGGAATCATCCTGCCTCAATCTCAAGCAGCTGGGATCCCAGATCCCACACCCAAGAGCATTAAAAGTCTAAAATTCATGTGTTTGCTCCCTGAAGCATCGTGCCTCTACCGTAACACTGGCAAGACGCATGCCTCTTATTTTTTCTATCATAAGTGAAGGAGCAGCTCCACAGCAGAAACAGCGACGTAGCTCTTGCCCATCTTTGCGTCTCCAACCCAACGCCAAGCACACAGTAGGTGTAATCTGTGTTTACTGAATGACAGAATAAATGCAGCTTTTATACCACGGTGCACACAACTTCCCACCTACTATGTAGATGGTTCGATGCCAGACCCCAGGCTTTACCCAGTTCACCCCCTCAAGATTCCCCGTGGGAGCCAGGGGGAAACGTGACTTCCTACTTGACTCTTCTGCCCTGCTTTCTGTGCTTATTACACTGGCCTCTGCACTCCAACAGCAGATTCTCTTGCCTTGACAGTAACTTTGGGATCTGATGATAGAGAAAGGTGAGTTTGACAAAGAAGCAGAGATTTTTCAAATGAACAAATACTGATAGTCATTTTTTAAATGTATGTGGTTGTTACAGGGTCTTACCATGCAGCTCGGACTCATGGTGATCCTCCTTTCAGCCTCCCCAGCACTGGGATTATGGGCATGGGCCACTACACCCAGACTATGGCCAGCTCAGCCTACGCTGGGGGCGGGGCTGGCACGGCAAGTGGTGCCTGGGATTGAACCTTGTTCAATATTTGCACTTACCTAAGCTTGTCTAAGCAGGCGCTTTAGTCCACTGAACTATCTCATCAGCCCCTGCTAGTCATTTTTATGGGTCTTGTATATGTCTCATCTTCTACTAATGCTTAAATCCTACCTTAACACCTAGTTGTGATGAAATTGTGGATATCTAATATCTGATCCTGACTTTATTGTGTATTTTTTGTTGTATTTAAAAAGTCACATAAAATTTTAGAGATTAAAACATACCCCTAAATTATTGGTATTTTTTAGGTATACGTAATGATCACTTTCATCATAGGCAATTTGTACCTGTACACCCCATAACTTGAGCATTTGTCCTCACCCATTGCCCTCCCCTCCCTTCAACTACTCTTCTTCTTATTTACAAAAGCTTTGTTTCCATTTTTTCCTTCTTTTTGCATCATTTTTTTTTCTTTTCCCTTCTTTCTTTCCCTTCCCCACTCACTGTACCTAAGATCCAACTGCACTTATGAGAGCTAAGCAGACAGCTTAGGGAGCAAGAAAAAACGGACCTAGCTTGGACACCTGCTAACCTTGAGGCTATGGGTGAGGAACCCCGCTTAGATTGAAAACCATTTCTTTTAAGTGTTTGGTCAATGCTGTAAGAGATCACAGGGTGGACACAACAGCTTCGTGCAAGTAGACCATTGGCAATTCCCAGTCTACGGAAGGTAAGGTTAGGCTTTCTCCATCAAAAAAACCGAAAAACAAAAAAAGAGAAAAAAGAGTTTTGCCATGTTTGGACTTGTAGAATTTAATCAAGTGTTAAAATGCTTTAAAATATAAAAAATGAACAACACTCGTACAATGTTTCTTGGAGTTAGAAATTCCATTGTTCAGCTTTTATTACCCCTAATTCCATTGTTTTCTTTTTAAACAATTTCTTAATCAGATCCAAAAGCTACAACTCTTGTTGCATAGGTC